GCTGTAAAACAGACCAACATTCTATAGTCCTAGAATGCGATGCATGAAGATACTAGCACAGCATCTGTATTGGCAGATAAAGGCTTTAAAATCATATGTTGTTATCAGACAAAAATAAACGTTTCCTTTCATTATGGGCCGATAAAAAAAAGATAATGCATAGGCAATTCAAAATGTTGAAGTAGTAGGTGCAAAAACAATATTTCTATAACAATATACTGTATGTCAGCGGTGTTGCCAGCCTGTTGGAGTGGGGTAGCATTTTCTGATTTGTTTAAACATATATCGGAAAAATTATGAAAAAATGTATGTATTACATGTACAGTAGCTTAAGTTGAAGAATTGTGCTCACTGAATGTGGACAGTTTCAAAAGCATTCTATTTTATATCTGCATCTGCCAATGAGCCGTCATGCTTACAGGAGGAATGATGATAGTTCAAATGTATTCTCTGCAATAAGGTGGAAATATGGGTGTATACAGGTATCTGCAATCGGCCAAAATAAGTTGTCAAATATCAGCAAAAAATTTAAAAATATTATTATTATATAAGTGAACCCAATTGTAATGTTTTCAAAAACCTGAGTATAATGGAACATACAGGGTACAAATGCACAGTGACACAAGATCAAAAACACACACAAGCTGTCCACTAGTTCAGCACCAATAATAGGTTCACTTCAGTGAAAAATACCTGCTGCCTTCCAGCCTGAGCTGGTAAACATGGAGGTGGAAGGGCACTGTCTTAACAAGGCCGGGGATCAGTGTAACCAGCCGGGCCAACTACAGGAGCAAACATGAAACCCCTGCTGTCAGATGCCTGACCCGAACCGCCCAGCCCACAGGAATCTCATCATCCAACAACCACACACGCTGCCCTTACTCGCTGCTGCGCACCTGTGTAGCTCTCAGCTGTCTGTCAAACTCCAGGCTCACAGACTCTTGTCAAACTCAGAGATGATCCTCTGCTTCCTGTCTCTCTCGCCCATTGACAGGGTCTGCTTGTGGGCCGTGAACATGTGAAAATGATTGGAAGGGTGAGACTCACTAGTGGCGGATGTCCAAGGGAAAGAATAACAAAAATGAAAGAAAATAAGAGAATGAATCCACTCTGCAAACTACGACATCACAAGGCGTGCATGCACTAACAACAGGCCACTGTCATTAGACCTGGGAGTCTTTGTTCACAACCACACTGAAGCATTGTGCTCTCAGACAGCACTCGAGACTGGCCTGATGTTTATTCAAATAACCAACAAGTGCAGCATCATGCACAATCTGATCTCCTCACTCATCCTGAGTGATAGAAGGAAAGAAAAATAAATTTTAAAGAACGAATAACAGAAAAAGTACCTAATGTGTTTTGACACTGCCTAGAACAGACTCTTGGTGTTCCATTTCTTCACAAGTTGTAACTGGAAAAGCAAGCATTGGAAACTAGTTCCCCTCCACCCGATTCTATGTTGTCAGCTTTCTTTTCCGTGAAATTATAAAAAGGGATTTGTTGCAGCTTTTCATCCACTTGATAGCACTTAACTAATTGCTGTCTTCTCATAGACAAAATTGCACTCGCAAAACATACACACACAAATAAACCACAGGCAGGCAGGCACACGTGTGCACACACACACAAATGTACTGTTATATTTTGTACCCTTTTTAAAATCAGCCCTGGGTCTGAACAGATACTACTAATATCATCATCTGGACACATTTAATCTTTTTTAATATATCTTTGTGAAAATCAAGCTATACCTGTGCCAACTACAAGTGGCTACTTTTTGAAACGATTATAAAAGCCCGGTCAAATCTCTTCCGCTAGTGGTATCAGCCAATTATAGAAACAAGTGACCATTGAATTAACACATGGAACTTGAAAGCTTTTGCACTCTGATGTAGAATGCTCTCCGGAAAAAAATATGTCAGACCTTAATTTGCAATTGCACAGGGAGTCACCCGAGTCCTGTGAAAACAATGGGCTTTAGCTCAATGGAAACACAATGGCATTGTAAATGTTAAAATGTGTTGATAAATGTCACAGTTCTTCCTCAACATTTTTTGTAAATGCTATCCGGACAGGACTATGAATGAATGAATAACAAATGTTCAGATTAAGTTGATTTTAAACTTGCAACAATAGGCAACTCCTACGCCTTTTTTCCTTCATAGATGAGAACTGAGGATTTGCATTAACCCCAAACACTGCTTCAGTATCTAGGTGATAGTGAAAGGAGTGAAGGGAGAGCCATGAAAACCAGAGCTGTGGAAGAGCAGCCACAAAAGGCAGATAAACCCAACGCCACAGAGAGGTGAGCCAACTGTTCCAAGTCTCACACAAGGGGAGGAAGAAAAAGGGGAGGGGGCGGAGAAGATAATTTAGCATTTGTGTAAGCTGTTTATCAAATTATTAACTGCACAGATGTTTCTGACTAGCTAGGGGCTGAACATGGGCTCTGCCAGGGAGGGGAACAAAGGTCTGAAGGATTCAACGGAGATGTGCACTGAATATCAATTTAATTTACTAGCTGTTAATTCTTATGCAAATTGTGACCTCCGTTAGGGCATATCAATGGCCGTACGCATTGTGTATGTCTCCAGAGGAGCAGCAGGCAGACACACAGTATAAAACGACAAATAGGAAAAATCATATTTTCCGAGTAGCCATTTATTAAATCCAATTTATAAAACGTATGCATGGCACTTTTTTAGTTTTTACTGATAAATCAGATGTAAAGGCTATACCAACTTTATCATCAAAACGGTTTTTGTTAAGCACCATATAGGCTGTAAACATTTAACACTAGAACCGCCAGAGGTCGCTGTATACCTAAAACCGCCAACGGGTAAAATGTACCCGGTATTGATTTGCAAGGTACAATGTTCTTTTATTTATCATACAGAACAGTGAGTTTTGATCGCACAGGGATGACATTTATACCAATAGAATCTGTGGACTCTCGGCTTTTCATATGATATAGTTTGTGCAGATAGCATGAAGTATAAAATATCGCTACAAGTGCTGATTTAAACGCTTGGTGTTAGACTTGTGTTTTGTTTAGGTACAAATCTCTCAATCTCTCTCTCTCTATCTATAACTATCTATCGATCCATCTGTAATGTTCTGTTCTATGGACATATAATTGTCCACATAAACAGACGACGCGGACTACTTCTCTCATTCCGAGTGTCCATCTTTCTTCAACTGGCACGTAACCTGCACACATGCATTACGTCCTCAACGTGAGCTCAGTCATCCAAGATCTTGTATTCTCCAAGATGTTACACTATCTATAACTATATATATATATCTCTCTCTCTCTATCTATCTATCAATATATCTATCTATCTCTCTCTATCTATAAGGAACCGCAAAGACAAAAGGCGTTGCTATAGCAACACGTCATGTTTACACTGCATTTTCTGAGGTAAATATTACCCGCTGGCGGATATGGGTATAAATGGCAATTTATTTGGCGATTTTGTCAATCTGACTTCCTATTGACAATTTTTAACAACAGAGGGTGCTATATAACACACTTTCAGGAAAAGTCACGGACTGGCAGACTTTAATATGTTATGGAGAAAAAGTTACATACAATAAAAAAACAGCTGCGGGTAAAATTTACCCGTTGGCGGTTCTGAAGGAACTACTCAAGATAGATTAATGTAGCGGTATGAATGCAGTTGAAGAAAAAGAAAGATAAAATCGGTGTGGAAGAGCAAAAAGACAAATAATTATGAGCTTGGAAGTTATTCTGTGCATTTTCCTATGCAAAGTAACTGCAATCGGACTCACCAATATGCATTCGGCTTCATTAGTGTCTTTACTTTGGATGCAGTCTCACTCATGGTGCCAGCATCTTGATGAGTGTTCTGCCTGCCTGATACACAAAGTAAATGAGAAATAATGAGAAAACCGTGGTTGTGGATGTTGTCTATATTGTGAACCACATTAGTCTGAAAATGATTATTGCACAGCATGACATCCAACAAAGGTCGATCCCCGGCTTCAACCTCAGCTGTGCTCAGCTGGAACAGCAATGTTGCTAGTCAAATTTTCTTCATAACCTCCGAAGTACCGCCTTTCAGCTCTCTAAAGCACAAACAAAAAGCCTGGCATCAATATCAATTATACATGCAGGAGGCAAACAAGGGGATTTATTTGACAACAAATAGCCTCACAGAGAGATGCTGAATAGGGCAGATTAGCATTAGAAAAGGACAACAAAACTCCCCAGTTCAACAGCTAAAGAGCAATTTGATGGGACTGGAATTGGGGAAATTGCTTGATTAGGGTGTGCATTTGGATGAGGCTGTCCATTTCATAATCCCAGCAAGGATGTGTAGTGTTGTCGCTTTGACACAATGACATGCTGCTGCAGTCAAAACATGACATTATAAGAACTGTCAGTTGTGAACTTTGATAATGCAAGACAAGATCAGGGGATGATACAGTATCCATCTGGGTAAATGAGACATCAGTGTGTATCTGATAGAGAGGGGGAGTCTTATCAAATGAAGATACATAAATCATTTTTAATGGATGGTATTTAGCCCAGTAAGGTTACAGACAAATGTTGACAGGTTGGGGGAGTTTTCTAAAATATGAGGTTTTATATATATTTAACCTTAAAGGTATAATTTATACGGGATGTTTAATTGCCCTTGCACACAAATTACGACATTTAGAGCCAGTCATACTGTTGAAACTTATATCTAGTTATCACATGTTAACAAAGTACTACAGTAGATGTTTACGGAAATATTAAAAGTGTTTCTTTGTAATAAGTAGTATAGTTTTTCTTACCCGACACCTAACAGTTATTTTGAGACGGCAGGAACACACTTTTGTCGTAAACAACAACACTCTGCAAGGCCAAACAAAATATCGAAGGGGGGCTTGCGGTGGATGTGAGGCTCGCGCCTGCACCACCACCACGTGCTCTGTGTTTATCAGCAATGCTTTCTGGGAAGCGGTGCTCATGGTAACCAATGTAAACACCGGCCATCCTCCTCCTCCTCATCTTACTCGTCTTTTTAGCGCATAAGCGGGAGAAAATTGCAAACATGGCTCGCAGTGAGGATCAGTATTATGAGAAGATAACATCGATTCAACAGAGCATGCATAAAAGGTGAGGTTTCCTTATATTGTTGTTAACGATACGAGGTCTAGTGTAGACTGCGGACTCGAGTTGTGCTCTGGGCCGCCTGGTAGCATCCTCCTGCAGGCAGACTGCAGGCTAGCTGCTTAGCTAACCAGTGAAGTCTGAAGAATTAGCTGCATTATAACTCGTTTCTGGTAGTCTATTTACTTTGTAGGTTACACGAAGATAACAGCAGTTATATTGCGGTTGTTCTTGTAATACATGAATGGAAAGCTAACCCTACATAACTGAGTGTTATCGTTGCTAATTAGCCAACGTTCCAATGAAGCTAACCTTCGTGTTTGTGTATGTAAGTAAGTAAGAGGAATATCAGCATAAACATACGCATGTAGCAGATATTTTGCAATGAATTCGCATGCTAACATTAGCACACACACTACGGTTAGTTTGTTAACGAGTAAATATATAATTACCCCTAATATTGGTGATAATTTGCCGTCAATTAGCCTAGCAAACCACGGGGATGCTGCAGGGTGTGGGTGACAGCCCTTCTGACTCTGTGTGCAGGGAGAAGCGGAGGCTGCAGCTGGAGAGGGAACTGTTTGCTTACTCCAGATCTGATAAAAGAATGTAAGTTATACGGATTACTTTATAGAAAAAAAGAGACTACTTTACCTTGTTCTCACACCTTGACTTTCATATTAAGCTGTACCTTTGATAGATGAGATATTTAAGTAGAAAGACCTTTCTATAAATGTAGCTTTGCTCAAGTAAATTAACTTAAGTACTGTTCAACTTTAAACCTCTACTACACTACATCACAAAGGGACATCTTGTACTCTCACTTTTTACACCACTATGTTATTATGTGACATATTCAATTACTAGTAACAACATATTGAAGGAACTTTACAAATATGTTGTGTGATGATCTAATATTATTTGTATTACCCGAAACAAGTCATGGGTTGACAGAAGATTACTTGACGACAATTGTTGCTAATTCAAGTACTTTTTCGTGTATAACATGTCATAGTTCCAGCTTCTAAAATGTAAAGCTTTGCTTCTATTCCTAAAGATTAATTGTGTAAATGTAATTTTCAGTTTTGATGACTTTTATGACTAAAGTTAAATGTCAATACATTTAAGGTGTAGTATAAGTACTTCTACCTAAACAAAGGATGTAAATACTGTCTCCATCACTGTTTTCAGCATAGCCATATAAGCATTTTTATTTGGAATGATGTAAAAAAGACCCTGGGATTTTATCTGATTTGTCTTTTGTTAAAAATATAAACAGTAAGCTGAACAGCCATTTTTTATTGCAAATTGATTCTAGTAAATATGAACATGCCATTTAAAAACAGCTGATACAAGAGTTGGGAATACGATTTGCATTTAAAGCATATTGTGCTTAACCTATTCTTTTGAGAAGTCAAGCTCTTGTTTTTTTGACAATGCTCCTTGATAATATTTCTCTGGAATAATAGCTCTCCATTGCCTTCAGCTCACAGATAAAGTGTTCCAAACTGCGCAGTTGTCTCAAAGAAATCTGTGACAGGGAAGCACAAGCGAAAATGAGAAACCTTGAGCTTCTGAGAGATGTGGAGTGCATAGAAATTAGCATGAAGGAATATCGTCCTAACCATGGCCCCCTGCAACAACAAAAGGTAAAACACACACACACGCACACACCCCATTTCAGTTGTTCAGTGTAGCAGCTTTCTCATTATGGAGTTTTATTTAAAAACATCTTTGCAAAAATCTTGCCATGGGGGTTTACCCAGGTTGACACAATTGTACATTTTTCTAAAAAGCAGTATTTAAATATAGTTTAACTATTTTATTTTTATTTTGCAGTACTTTGTGCTCAGTAAATACTACCCAACATACTGGGACAGGGAACAAGAACAATAAACTCACAGGCCTACAATATAATGAAACATTTGCCTTAATGATGTGCAGTAATTGAACATGGAGTAGACATGTTTGCTTGCAATTGCTTGATGTGACAATAGTAAACACTCAAACTGTGCAATTTATCACGACAGGCAAATGAACGAGGGAGAAAACAATGAGCCAGTCAGATTATCACTTAAAACTCAACGACAGTGCTTGACAGCTTAATATCAAATTAACAAAATTGGCTAATTATGACTCGCTGAGTTAATTGCCCAATATAGAGACTGTGAAGTGCTCCAGAGGTTTAGTCATTCTCTCCCCTCAAGCAGTTGGTTTATTTCCTCTTGATGCTTTATGAGTCCGACATGTCTGTTGTTATTTTGGTTGTCCTGCTGCTTTGTCTCCTTTGTCTGAAGTCACCTAGATTTTTCACTTTTAACTCTGATTGGTGCAATGAAAAACATAACGGGAAGTTACACATAATGATGTGCTTAAATGTATGACATGTTTCAGTGTATGTTTGTTTATTGGTTGTGCAAAACTTTCAAATACCGAGTGGGTAAATTAGAAATTGGGTAAAGCTGTCTTTTAATTGCCTGCTTCTCTGAACCGTCATTGTTTTGATGAAAAGCTTTGGCATGTTTGAGTTAATCCAAGTGCCCTTAAAATGGCCATTGGTTGTTTTTAATTGAAGTTGGGATTAAGGCAGTTTAGTCTGGTCGGTCAGATAAATGCTAAAGGGTGTCAGCAGCTACACAGAGGACACTCGCTTGGGAAAACCCGTTGTGATTGACTGATCCTTGACGCTGTCACATTTTTCTTTTCAAACCTTCTGATTTTACCCACATTCAGATAATATTCAACAACACTATCACAACAATATAACAGTCACATCCTAGCACGCAGTGTTAGTTTGCCTGTCAGTTAAATATCTTGACTATCACCTTTGTGTCATTTGTCTGCTCTTATCTTAATCTAATATTCTCTTTATTCTGTCTTTACATCTCCTACAGGCTGACTTTTTCAAAAAGATTTCTAGATTTATGGAAGCAAAGACGAATATGGAGAAAGAACTTGATGCAGCAAAGGTAATGCTAGGATGTTCAAACTGAATACTATAACAATTGCATTCATATCTAGGGTGTATGAATTTGTACTTGATGTATCTATGTCCTGTGTGACCTCTGTCGTATGTTTGTTTTATCACATATATTTTCATGGTTAAAAATAGCAGTTGCTTTACTTACGTTAGATCCTTCCTTTTTGAAATGTTTACACCATCTATGCAAATCTCAGTTCTATCAAGCTGTGTTTTCAGTTTTGGAATAACAAAGGAAAGTAGACATTATGCCTGGTAAATCTGTAGAGGAGTCTACATTTAAACTGTGTATCTGTAATAGCACAGGTGTCCTAATCCTAGCTGGTGCATCTGTACAAGCGATGTAGTTCAAGTCCATCGCTGCTTTCTCCCTTCACTTAAAGCAGTTAAAGCTCTTTTTAGATGAAATGTCTAAGACATCTCATAAAAACTTGGAGCATGCTGTCTAGAGCAGTCACTTGTAACTGTGTGCAAAACCCCCGTCAGCTTGTCGATATTGTAATGAGCAAAATGGTACCGTCACTCCATTATGCATACAAGCCATTGGCTGGCAGTGTGCATGTCCCTCGGGCTGCAGCATTCATTAAGGGAAGCTTACCGGACTGAAAGCTGGAGACAGATGATAACGGGATATGATTTTCATATTTAATACATTCCTTGGAAGAGCACACGCGTGCCACAGATTGATAGAAGAATCAATTGCTACTTTAGTGAAACACTTTCTACTTTGCCCTGCAGCTACCGATGGAATCACTCAGCCAAGAAATTAACTTTTCCTCTTTTTTTTTACCTACTTTGTGGATCTGCTGGGCAGGCTGCATGGTTTACAGTGAATGTTATTAAGCAGCTAACTGTTTGGTATTTAAGACGCTTATCAGAAAAGAAACAGAAGCCATGCTTTTTGTTATTATGTTTGGAGGGAGGCTTTTTTGCTTCACCCCCCCCAGCCCCCCGTCCCTTCTCGGTGACATTGCCTACATGAATCAAAACTTGTCTAAAGGATTTTCTAATAAGATGAAAAGTTAAAACATTCATCTTGAGACATTTTTCTGAAAGCTGTTTGTAAAAAAGAATTCTGACCTTGGCCCAAATGAGCCACACTTATTCCAATTTGAAAAGTGGATAGTAAACATACTTGAGTGGAATTTTTCTTTTTAAGCAAGAAATTAAATGTCTTTGAAGATCAGATTTATTTGAAAAAAAATTTTTTTTATAACAGAATGGAAATGTGTAAATACAGTGATTTTTATTTTCTTACTTATTTGCAGGTTGATGCTGTGCACAGACAGCACCAGGAAAGCTCCCTCTCTCATCCAGTTAGGGACTATACACAACCATCAGCAGTCATTTCTATGGGCCGCCAGACCTCCAGAGGGTCTGACGCTGAAGCTGGCACCACAAGTGTACACTCACACCAAGCATCGCATCGTTCACCCAATCGCAGCATGCACTCCCGCGAACGTCTACCAAGTGGCCTTTTGAAGGACTTCAGAGTTGGCGGAGAGGATGCCGCCGGCAACCGAGCACATTTATCAGATGACATTTCAGGCTCAAACGATTCCCCAGACGGCTGTAATTTGAGTGACAAACATGAAAGAACGATGGTGATGCTTCCATCTGTCCGCGCATTAACAGTCGCAGCTGGCGATGTGCCTTTTGGAAGTGATGATGAACAAGAACCATCACCTTTAGTGACCTTGACGGGGCCTGAGAAGAAACCCAGCAGCAGTAGGTTCATGAAGGCTGAGAATTCCCCTGTAGAGCACTCTGACCCCCGAGAAGCGGCTCATCAGCCACCCATAATGGAAGATGTGGAGAGAGCTCTCGGCCATTTCCTGCCTCAAACCACTTTCGGAGAAGAAGCTGAAGATATACCAGGTTTGCAATGCTGTTTCTTATGCTTATTATAGAATATTTGTATAGTTTTCACTGAAATGTGTTTACTTTCAGGTAGAGATGAGAGCGTCAGCATACCTAGCTCTGATATACAGCTGTCCGAGAGCACTGCTAGCGACCTGTCCATTTCCCTGACACAATCTGAGCTGGATGAGGATCCACCAGAGGGTGTGGCACCTGAGAGAAATACCACTTCTGAATGGAGCGATGATCAAAATCAACACAGTCCTGAAACCTCCCTCCACTCTGACGGGTCCAAAAACAAACCCCAGTCAAACGGCCAATCCTCCGCTCCAGCGGTGACCTTGGAAAGGTAGAGTATTTAAGACTTCTCTACTTTGTTGTGTTGAATTGTCAAACTGTGTTGATGGGGAAAACACCAACACTTCTTAAAATGTGCACAATGCAGTCAGTATTTTTTTTTTGCCAAGATTTAAGGCTAAGCAGGCTGAGGAAGAGGAATGTTGTGCACAGCCGAGCTGAACCACAGAGGGCTGTTAATGATAGGAGACAGCGTACAGTCCTTGCCACCATCACATCAGAGGCTGACAGAGAGGATTGTGTGAGTCACGGTCGGTGCCACGGCGCTCTCTGTGGCTCAGCGGCAGCAGCGGTGGTGGCAGTGATGCATCTTATAGGGAGAGCTCAGGACCTGTCACCAACAATATTGCCATAATCCAAGATAATGCTGTAACAGAGCAATTTTCTGCTCGAGAGACCTCAGGAAGTCCCCAGTGGAGGAGGAAATTTGTGGCACCATAGAGTGTTCTGGAGGGTGGGCATGTGGACAGCACTTACAGCCACAAATCCTTAGCGTGATGATGGCCTCTGAGTTGAAGGATCATTTTGGATGGGGTTAGAACCACAGAAAATCCCATGTCTCTGCCTTTCCACTACGAAATACAGTATATAATGAACAGGAGCTCCTATGCTCCTAAAAAGAACAGGAACACTTAATTTTTCTTGACCATATTCTGAGGGATAGTTTTACTTGCATTATTGCTATTAATCGTTATATGCATAGTTGTTTTAAGCTAAGCACCAAGTTGCACACTTATTTTGTTCTAACCAAAACCATTTTTTATTTTTCAGTGGGCTTTGCAACAACGTAGATACATCAGAGCATTTACAAGTAGGGAGTCAATCACTTACCGACCAAAATTATATTAAATGCCACAATTTAAATATTGCTTACCGCAAACATATTATTTTGTGTATTCAAATGTTCTAAAAATATCAAAAGTTGAAGGTTTTTAATTTCTCTATGAGAGTACTGCATGTTTGTTTGTGCATGACTGTGTCTTTGTGTGGTCTACTATACTGTTTATGGTGTGACCTCAAGAGGAACTGCAGTTAGCCTGCTCCAGGGAAACGATGGGAGGGGGCTGCAGCTTTCATTGTTAACACGGAGGGCTTCTGTGTGCGAGGAGAAAACCAGAGGCTTTGATGTAAAGCTCAGAGAGCGTCCAGTCTCTCTCTGTCTCTCTCTCTTTCGTAAGGTTAGAGTTTGTATCACTCCCTCCATTCAGCTCACCGTCAGGAAAAACAAGCCTGAGCAATTCATTAGATTATCCCATTATATTTCTCCTCCAGCATGGCTGGGGTGAGTGAGGGTACACGACTGAAATATCCTGCAGGTATTTTTTTCCTTCGAGACTCATCATAATGGCCTCCCTGTGTCCTCCTCTCACATGTGTCGTCCCTGAACTGCACGATGGTTCTGCTTCATCGGTGGCAGTACGCCTTACAATTTAAGTTCTGAAAGATCCAATACTAGAGGTAAAATGAAAACAAATATGTAAAAGTTTTGCAATGTCATTCGATTATTTAGCTTTATCTTTGCAAAGATGACTTGTATTTAGTGGTGTTGTTGCACATTGTCACACAGTACTGTGTACACTGTGTGGTGGGGTCCATCCCAGATTTTGCCTGGCAATCCCATGCTCAATGTGCTGTTATTACTTGTGGTTTTCCCATTCCTTTGTCTGTTATATTTGCCGTCTGTGCCAGCCCGGTGAGATTCCTCTGACACTAATCACTCCACAATGAGACCGTTCCGTGTGTTAAATCACACCGGAGCCAGTGCTGTACACTGTAGAGCAATATCGCTGCATAGAGGCTGACCCCTTCCTCACAATACGCGCTCCTGATGATGTCGACACGCGGACAACAGCAGCATCTAAAGTGAGGTCGGGGACTTTGACATGAAAGCTGGCCCAATACAATGAGAGAGAGGGAGAGGGGTTTGCAGAAAAACACAACTAATTCACTTTCTCCCTCTCTAAAGGTCTCTTTTTGAAGAGCATTGACAAATAAAGTGGAAAGAGAAAGATGACTATTTCAAGGCCCACGCTGACGATAAGGGAGAGAGAAAAAAAAAAAGATAGCTTTTGCCTATGCTACTTCAGCCACACTGAAGAGGACTTAGCACAGACGGATTGCACACTACAGAATGTCATGGATATAATTCGAGCTGCCAGCTTAATCAGGATGTTACCAGGAAACAACCTGCAAAAAAGAGGGAGCAATTGTTTGCTGACCCCTAACCCAGGAGCCCATTACAGATTGTCATAAATTCTTTTTGGCCCCTTTTATGTAGGGGGGCTCAGGATCTCTCGGCTGGGGTTTTCATGGCAGAATTCAAAGAGGGCCACCCAGAGCTTAATGCTCAAAAAAGAGATGGATTCTCAATATCCACATGCATTAGGCATCCATTTCTCATTTTGCTGCACATACAGCACCAGATTAAAGTAAATCTCTAACAAAATGAAGAGAAATCATCTCGAGGCCCACATTTTTGGGGGAAATCTTTCTCCTTGTATTTAGAAATGTAAAATGTTGTTTTGTTTGACTTTTTACATTGGATATATATATACACTGTATATAATATTTATAATTAAAGTGGACCTATCATGCTTTATTTGAAACATATATTGTAGAGCAATACCTATATAAAACATGTCTGTGAAGTTTTTTTTTTCAAAATACCATCGTAATAATGTATGCTAATAACGTAAGTTTAGTTACGGATGCCTCATTTCGTCTCTATTGCCCTTTCCGCCTGTTTTTCGCAAGGCCTGATCCTGCTTCTTGTGGCAGATACAGGCCACTCTTACAGCCTGCGCTATGACTACAACCGTCCTCCAGCGCTTTCGAGCGGTCTCTCATTCCCCTGATAGGTGGAGAGTTGCCCATATAGGCGGAGCACCCCTTTTCTGACGTCAGAAAAATTCAAATAATAATCAGCTCCATTGCAGCCCCGTTTTTAGAGATTTGGGGATGGAGGAAAAGAGAGAGGGTTGTGTTTTCTGACACTTGCTGAGTTCCCTGACACATATTCATGTATAAAAGACGTACAAAAGTGCATTTTACATGATAGGTCCCCTTTAAGTTGAATTGGCCATTTAACTGTTAAAGGCTGATTTAAAGTTTTATTTCCACAATATTCAGCTAATTGTGCAAGCTCTAGTTTTGAATGACAATTTTCAAACCTGTCATTACATGTGGCGCAGAAATGCTTTGAATTGCTTGTCTGTTAAGTACCTTTTCTTCTTCTTCTAATGATCAGATTCCTCAAGCAGTCTTTGAGTGCAAAAATGCATCAAAGATTTTTCGATCAAATTGCATCTATTTTAGTAATTTTGTACAAATATCAAGCATATCGATCACATGGCCTCCTGCGCTTTCTATCTCCTTTCACCAAATGAATGGGAAACATGTATTTAGTCTCTCCCAGGAAGGACTCTTTAATCTGCTAGACGACATCGAAGGACGACTCCATGGTGAGCAGACGTGTGTGTACGAGGATTCTTCGATTGATGGAAGACAACTCCAGAGAATTATACGGTATACCCTTCCTGTCTTACCTCAGACTTTACAATCTTATCACTGCATTAAATGCTGTGTTTATTTATTTAACGGCCATGGAGCAGTTTGTGCAGACGAGGAAAACATATTATCCTTCTGCTAAGGGCTCTCACTTTAGATGAAGTGTCATCACCAACATGCACGTCTTTATTTCTGAGGGGTTTTCAAACACACAGGATTGTTATAGTAACCACCCTGTTGAATTGTTAGTGGGAGTTAGGGGAGATGGAGGATGGGGAACGTGTTTCATTAGACCGGGCTTATTTTTCATAAGCCTTTTTATATTTCATAGCCTGATTAATTTACCATAATTGCAGTTCTTGTTGTAAATTACGGATAAATGTCTGGCGAATGAAAGCTTTCACACTCTTTTTAAACCCAGTTTATCCCCATCTATGCGACTATGAGTGTTGTAAATGATGTCAACAACATCTTCAATAGTAACCAGAGTGGCGATCGTGTGTTATGACCCTCAGTACATTGTCTATTCTTCCTGGGATATTTTGTGTGCATGTGCATTGATGTGTATGATCACGCTTGTTACTGTGTGTGGAGTGTTAGAAGCTGTTGGATGTCCTCTGTGTGCACCTGACCCGTGGGGCTCCATGGCAATAGCTGACTGCTCTCTATATATTGGACAGCCTTTGTAACGGTGGCGCGGGCGTGAATGGCGAGGACCTTAAAGCATGTGGAGCAGTCATCCTTCATGAGCTTCAGAGGTTGTCATGGAGCACAGAAAAGGGCTGCCTGCTACCTCAGGATCTAGTGGATGCTCAGCAGTCCAGCACTGAGCCTAATGCAATAAGGTAGGGCCTCCTGGGAATCCAACACTAAAGACTGTTGTCGTGTTTTTGTTTCATTAATTATGTAGTGTGTGTGTGTGCTTTTTCTTCTCTTAATGACACAGGTTATTGTGGAACTATAAAAAGTTCACAATGGCATTGTCAGGTTTAATCGTTTCGTGTAACTCTACTACTCAGGTAATTTTTTCACCTTCAGAACTGTGCATTATGCTTCATTCGGAACAAACTACGACTTCTGAGGAAAAAAAATAAAAAACCCACACACACAAAAAAGATAAAATATATTGGGGCATAGCAGGGTTCTTGCTGTCCTTAATGGCCTTATTATGCTAATTTTCAGGTTCATCTTTGTATGTTGAGCCTCTTCTGTGACATGTCTCCATGCTTTAATGTTCAAAAAGCTCTTTATGTTTCTCATACTGCCTGTGCTGCAGAACCTCTTTTCACCCTCTGTCTGAAACCAGAGCCCAGTCTGCTCTGATTGGTTAGCTGGCCGACTCTGTAATTGGTCACCCACTAAGAGATTTCCCGCCCCTTAGCCGATCATGTGAATGTGGTGGACGGCTAGCCAATAGAAACGTGTGTGTTACATAGTGATGTCACTATGTTTTTGAAGTAAACTTCAGGCAGTAGGGAGTGTGTGGGAAAGACATTTTGGGATGTTAGCCTTTGCACACCATTGACATGCACAAAAACCTATATAACACTCTACAGGAAAGGGAAAACCCCAAAAAGCATAATAGGCCCCCTTTAAATCCTCTTAATTCCAAAACCAAAAACATTTGAACTATGAAGTAAATGTCATTAGCTTCAGTGTTTTTGGGAAAAAAGTCATGATTTTTCTGTTCAAAACTAAACATGGAACCAATATCCACCTACCACAATTGTGCGGTCCGGTCAGAAATAATCTGAGCACTTTCAGCTACCGTGATGCCTCTCCAAAAAAAAAGGCAAAACATCAGTCTTTGAAAGGCAATGAAGACATAGATGAGCTCTTCTGACATTGCTTATGTGTTTACTTGCAACTCATTCTGGGACTTTTCTTCCTATCCTTCATAATTTTTTCCCTCCACAATTGGTATAAAATAGGCCTTAAATTGCATTCCTTACCCTTTTAAAGGTCTTACGAAATCCTTAAACCAATGTATTGAAACTTGCAGAAACCCGGTATATTATGTGTTTTGTGATTACATGTTTAACTCTCCTTATAAGTAGTGTTATAGTAGAGCGCAAATACCAACCGTCTGATAGTTACACAGTTCAACAGATATATTTGTTCCATGGAAACAGAGAACAGACTTACAGGAAAAAATGAATTCAACTTTCCAGACAAAGAGAGGATAGCTGCATTTTATTAATATTTTCTGGACCTGACAGTGGGGGAGAGGGCTCGCACTTTACAACAGTCGCTGAAGATATCGTGCACGCTACCATTTGATACAGCCTCCCCTTGTACACAAACATAAAGGTCATCTTTGGTGTCACCTCGTGCGGCAACACTGCACGGGTGAATGTCATGAGTAAATTAAAATGCCCTATCTGTGACTTCCAGTCCTTTGGATAATGAGTAATTATACTCTGAGCCAAATCCATGCTTTGCTTCACTACTCTATTGATTTCAAGAGACTTCCATCCAAAGAAACACATCCAGCAGTGTCCCTCACTTTCCTCTGGAGATGCCTATTGGCGCTTTGACCTTTTATCTAGTTTTCAACCTGGTGCTATATTAGTCTCTGTGTATTCAGGGTTGACTGTCATTCTTATAAAGTGTTACGATTAGCAATTAGCCTTTAGAGAATGATCAATGATTTATGAGAACACATCTTATTTCTCTATCCTTATTTCTCAAATTTCCCGATAATCAAAGCGTCTTTTACAGTAAGGAGGTTTTATTGTAACTTATTTACAAATGTCCCACTCTGTATTCAATAAGAAAAGCCTATGTTTTTCTTTCTCCTAATTCCCCCCACCCTCACCCCAGCACCAGCCTCCCTCCTGATGCCGCTCGGCTGTGGGATCGCTGGTTCAAGCACGCCCTTCTGCTGAAGGAGAGCCGTGTCCTCAGCACTGAGCGCCTGGTCCAGCTGTTCACGCCGCTGCTGCTGGAGCGCCATGCCACCTACAGCCACCAGGTAGCGTTGGAGGCACATACACATGCTGCTTCTACACACAAATACAAGGTCACACACTTTCAAGGCACCCACTTCCAATAGCAAGCAGACATTAACACACATATGACCCCAGGAGTAGAATGCATCCTTTTTCTTCTTTCCAAATAGGCTTGTTTTTATTTCTTTGCATGCTTTTGGCGCCTGGCGTTTGAAACCAAGCCCTGGCTGCCGACTCATCAGATTGTTCCACACGTTGACCTAGACAGAAGGGGAACCCTGACCCGTGCGCTAATCGCAAATTACAGCCTCTGCTTGGCTTCTTTCATCTCACGTGGCGTATTCATCTGAGAAACACTTGCTTTTAATACGGCATTAGCCAAAAGTATAGCCATCAGCTGGGTCCGATTGAATGAGGGAGCCATTTGGACTCTCAACACAAAGATTATTTATAATTTCCCACTCATTGACCTTTTGCAGATCATGCTCAAGTAAACAAAGACAGGAATCACAATTAATATTCATACTTGAAATCTATATATGTCAGGAATCTTCAGGAATGATCATATACATGCAGTTTTATACGTTTAGTTGAGGACCAATGTTGTCGGGATTCTTGTGGCTCGGAGATCTAGCTCCAGTGTCCCAGACGCACTATAGAGCCTCTTGAAAATATGAACTGACAAAAGCAAGAGAGGCACTGCCATCTACATCATTGTGTCCAAGTGCATCAGGAAAAGCCTGAGTGAAAATCTTTCTCCCCCTTTATCGCTCTCACTCCATCTACTCCATCTATGTCTCCCTCCCTCCCTGGATTTCTTCTTCTCTGCTCTCTTTCTGTCCACATACAACAGCTTTACTCTCCTCGCACAAGAGCAAACAGAAATGTCCATTCACGTAATGCCACACAGCCTGGCTACTCCGACAAATGGGAGCATGCAGCTCGCATGCACACACTCAAAGAGGCCCTTTGAATATTCAAGTGCTAACAGTTGCATTCATTGATATTTAAAATGCAGTGGGTCCGCGAGAGCCCTCAACCCACGGTACATTTGACTAAAAAAGAAATAAAAAAAAGAACAAAGACGGATATCGGGGACAAGGATCAAGACAGTTTTTATTGTGCAGAAACATCAAATACCAAGTGGCAAGCTCAGATTGGCATGTGTTTGCCTCTCTTCCCCTCAAACAGAATGAAAGCATGTACTTTGTCAATCTTCACTGCGACCTACTGATAACAACTCACAATGCACTTAAAGTTTGTCACTGTCAAAATCCTCCTGATCATCCCCTCCCTATTAGTGCTCATTAAAAGTAGCAAATGGCCATCTGAGGCTGAGAGGCAGTCTTTGATCACAAAAGAGAGATGATGATGATGGCACGATTTGATATGGGGGAGGGAAAAAGGAGAGAAAGGGAAATCGGTGTGTGGCATCTCCATGCTCCTCATCTCCCGGAACAGCTCCTCTTAATTGTGTATCCTCATCTCCTCGGAGATAAAAAAAAACGAGCTGGAGAGGGAGGAAGAGAGCAGTTTGTCTCAATTCCCTCAGCCAAGAGGGGAGATATGTGGAACGTGTTGCACATTAACGCCAGCGTGATTGCATTCTTTAGGCGCTTCTCTAATCTCATGGATGAGAAGAGAGAGGCAGAGCGGGAGCGAAAGTGTGCGAAATAATCTTTTTTTAGTTAAATGACTGAGAGAATTTGAAGTCATTTTCTCTTGGCCTTTGAACACGCGCTTCAGCTGCACCTCCTGTGCGAGCAGCCATGGCCAAAGTAAATGAGTTGCCTAATCGGCGAGAGTTCAATTTGACACTTCCTTCACAAAATGGGAACAATTAAGAGTGTGGTTTTAATTTGTGCTGCTCACAGGCCAAAGTGCTGCTGAGGACACTTGTGTCCCGGTCCAGTGAGGAGTGCCCCTCAGCGGAGGACGAGAGTGACTCGTCTCCTTCCTCTGGTCCTCCTTCTCCCCTGGCGGACGCTGATGTGACGCCCGCCAAGCCGGTACAGAAGCAACAGATCCAAGGTTACTGAAATGTATTTTTTTTTTTTAAAGCATGGCATATTCCAATTATCCACCACATTTGAATGCTGGATTTTGTTTATTTATTATGGGGGAATGCATTTTCTGACAATTAAAAAAAACTCTCCCTTCACCAAGTGTTACTGTTAGTATATTCCCCCTAATGTTCTAAACACCAAGACTCTCTTTCTTTGCACAGCAATGTAAAACAAGAACATTACTAGGAACAGATGTAGACTGCTTTTTTTTTGTAAACCACCTATGCAGAGAACTACGCTTTTATGAAAGAAATTAATTTCACCATAGAGCTTTTTTATTAATCCCTCACAGCCCAGTTTTCCTACAGGCTTCTATTCAGAGCTAAAGAAAGACCCCCCATTCCCATTTCTACCCGAGACTCCCTTCCTCCCTGCCACTGCTTCTCACTATGCGCTTCCCTTTCTTACAGAACTACAAAGTACTGAAGAGGACAGCCAGGCCGAAAGCCCTGTGGAAAGTGTTCCTATTAGAGGTAAAAAGGCATCGCCGTTGCCCCAGCATTCACACTGTCCTTATGTTGTGGTTTGTTTTCCTCCCACTGCAGTGAATAATGGCCTCTTTTCACCCAATGGCTGAGGCAGGATGATCAAGGTGAATCCAGGGTCAAAGTCCCACCTGAAGAGCTGTACTAGTTCTCTCTAATTATCTCCCAGAAGAAGAAAAAAACACTAGCTAGGTTTTCAGCCTGGTCTGAGGCATTCCGGCGAAATTGATAATTCGCTGGCCCCGGCATAATGCGGCTGCTTTAATTGTCAGGAGGCCAGGGTGGGAAGCGCAAGAGATCTGTCATCGCTTCTCATTATCTTCTAAACAATGCCCTGAAAAGGCTGGACTTGAAAAAATACTAGATGTGAAGGCATCCTGGAAGCAGTTGGTGTGCACCTCTGAAATGTAAAGCGACCGTATATTACCTTCAGCTATCAGATATCCCACAGGCTGTTTCATGTGTCTGCATCCCCAAGGTGCACAGCCAGCGAAATGAGTCCAGTTACCAAACGCTAGACCTAATCAAAAGAGCCAGTAGAAAGAAAACATGACTAAAGATTTTGTAAGGAAAAGGGGTTTGCTGTGGTGAGCAACATCAATGTCACAATCAAATACCATGACCTTGGAACTGAAAGTAATTGCCCAGACATTATTATTATTATTATTATAACGGTTGTTTTTTTCAGACTACATGTAAAAGCAATGCCTTTGAGTGTTGTGGGTGGCATAACAATGCACATATAATATTATATTTAGAGCATGATTCAAAGTAAAAGAAAATCAGGACTTGGTCATACAAGATCACCATTGTTTTCTCCCCCTTGATTAAGTGTGTTTTTTGGATACATGATTGAGACAACAGCCCATGATTTATTATGTTCTCCTGCTCTGTTTAATTTTGTGCCAGCTCCTCTTAAAATGTGATACCTACTTTAGAGTGCCAGTGTGAAAGTAATTATGAGTGTTTTTTAAAAACAGAAAATCAATCATTGCCTTTCCTGACAGGGGTTGTTTAGATACAGTAAGATGCTGATTGCTGTCTCATGGAAACTGTTGCTACATACTGTAGGCTAGAATCAACAGCTTAGCGGATTGAGCGAGCTGTTCTCAACCACTCTGACACCAAAAGAGTCAGCTACTGGAGCGTGTTGTCTCATCAAACACAGAAACCTCTGAAAGTTGGAAACCTGGGTTTTAAGCAAATATTTGACAGCGACTTTGTGTGTTTGTCCCTGAACAGAGACAAAAGCATATCAGTTACTTAAACAATCAGCGATGCAGGAAAGGCTGCAGAGCTCTGAAGAGGAGGAGGAGGAACTCTCAGGTAAGAGATGCAGCCTACTGCAACAGGAGCCTAATGACTCGTCAACACTGGCCTTATGTCAAGAAGGTCTATTTCAAACAATATGTTTATTGATTATTCTTAATTTTTACAAACTCGGTAATAACAGCAGATACATCACAACTACTGAATTACAATGCAAAACTATCAAACAGCTCAGTTTTCAGACATACATAGGAGGTTACAGGACAATCACTTCTATGATGGCCTTTTCTTATTATTACAGAAGATTCAGGAGGTTCCTTTTACAATAATGGCTGATAAATCAGGTCCAAGGAAATGTAAGTGAGGCTAGCAGATTGTATTGAACTGGTCAGATTTGGCATGTAGAACCCTTGTAATATATTCCAGGGAGAAAGTCCATTTTAGTCTTCAAAGCTTGGTTTTCATCAACTACATTTTTAGCAATCACAGACTCCTACATGTATTATTAGCCTCACATAACGGTGTATCACGTATCAATATATCAACATCAGGGACCAGTCAAGTCCCTCATAAGCTTCACCGTATGTTTCTATCTTAATATGCATTGTAGATTATGTGATGAGATGTCTAAATCAAATGTTTTTTTCTGGCCCCTGTTTGCTCTTTGAAGGAATAAATCATGGCCATGAAGAGGACCTGGGGAGGGCCAAACGCTCCTCACATCAAGACCCTTACCCCGGGTAAGAACATTGTTATTATTCAACGGGCCACAGGAAATGGGCCACCAGACACCAAAGTGGTTGATGTACATTTGCATGGCCGCTCTCATAATTCCCTGTTCATTTCCATAAGATCAAGGGGGCACCACCCATTAACTCGCTTACAAAGACAAAAGGCCTCTAAAGCCCCCCCTCTCACTCACTGTTTGCCCGGTTCAGCCAGGTTTGGGAAATCAAAAAAACAAAATGTCCTGTAATAAATAAATTGGGAGTCATAATTTCGCTGTCTTTGGATGTTTGTCAGAAGGCAAATAGATCATGTCAAGAAGAGAACCAGGGACGACTGTTTGGTAAGAAGGAGACTCAAGTGTTGACAAGGACAAATCGCCTTTCATTTTTCACCCTTGAAAGGCATTTAGGCTTCTCAAATCAGAGCCCTAAGTGGGTTGGAAAAGAAGATCTAATGATAAATAGCTCGGTGGAAGGCAGCTAAGACCAGCACAGCTACATTTGAATATCAACACGACTTCATCAAATCTGCAATTGCACGTCGGGTCCTCCGAGCACCTCTTCACTGCAAACCCATTTGGGCTGTCGTAATGGCTGGGTAAACGTTATGAGGAATAATCTTCTCTGATTTCATGTGATTACTGGGCACCACGCTGACACAAGGGCTGGAGTCTGTATCTTCCTGGCCTGGCAGCTCCCAGTCTGCCTATTAGTCCAGGGAAGGGCCTAATGGGCTGCTTCTATTGTGGCCCTCATAGCTGCCACTGCCAGCCCCAGTGACCACCCTCTTTAATAAACATGAGCCAATGTTTGACACAGACTCTCTCAGATGGTGCCTGTCCTCCTGTCTGAATGTGCATGGGAAGCCCGCAATATATGGGATTAAACAACATTTGCAGAAAGACAGAATGTTATCAGCGGTTGTGTACATTTAACAAATGGGTAGATGCATGCCTAACACTGTAATCTCACTCAGGTTAGTAAGGACATGAGCTACCATGACCATAATCCTTTCTTTGGTCATACAACCATTCATCCCTGTCTTTTCTTTGCTTCTCTTGGATGCTTAGATTGAAGCATTCCACTTACCACAGTCCCTTCTTGCGCTTTATTGCTTCCACAAGTGGTCTGCAAGCCCTGCACTTAAGCAGAAGCATAACACTGCAGCATGCTCTCGCCCTGCTTCTCTCTGTGTGTGTCTCGCTTGCCCTTTCTCCATCTATTCGCCCCTTCTTCTTCTCTGTCTTCCTGTTTTTTCCGCTCCTCCTCCTCCTCCCCTCCTCTCCATCCTACTTGTTAATTATTTGCTTTATTTTGTCAGCGAGCTGATGAGTCTCATCAAAAGGAGGATGGAGCCGGACTCAAAATACAAAAATGGCTTCCTCTCTGTTGTCTCAGACAATAATTATGATTTGCCAGTTAAGCCTGGACTACAGCAGAGGGATTGTAGTTTAAAGCAGAGGCTTTGGTGCAAAAAATGCATTTATAGCCCTTTGTGAGGCTCCTCATTATGTGTGGGCCTGATTCATTAAGTAATTGGTTTGCAGTTGTTTACATGAGTATTAAGGCCTTCTATTCAGGGCCTTTGAGAGATACATTGTGCAAATGTTGCATGTTATGAATGCAGAATGAGAGGCGGGGGGGCAGTCCTATTGGCCAAACACTGCACTCGGCTGAAAAGCGAGAGAAAAGCACTGGGTGCTGCTTTGCATAGCAATGACTAGGGCCTTAATAAGCTTTACAGATTAAATACATGCAGTCTATACAAGATGCAAAGAGATACTCTTAACACATTTATATGTGCTCATTTCACTATTATGGCGTTGGAGAGAATTGAAGTCTTTCATATTCTTTTTTTCTCCCTCTATCCCCCTCTTCCTTGCTCTCTCCCACACAGTGTTTTTCAGTCAGATACTTTTATAGAATGTGCTGTTTATTGTATTATAACTCGTGGGGAAGCGACTGATTTGTCCATTAGAAATCTTTTGCTGTCTTTGTGAGTGGCAAAGTAAAATCACTTTGTGGTTGAGTGGCGATGAAAGGAATAATGCACGAAGGAGTGAGTCTTAATAAGCAGCTGCACTCCATGTAAAGACCACTTGTTCCCCTTTGTACGCGAGTGCATGCCACTGCTTCCTCTCGTGCAAAGAATCATTGTGCTCCTTTCTACTGTAGGCATTTCAGAAGCCACTCCTTTCTTGTTTTTATTTTGAGTTTTATAATACCTCTCCGTCATCCCCCTTCGTCTTGAATCGTGAAAAAATACTCGTACACATGTACACACACACAAAAACACACACAATCCTCCAGCCATCAGCCGGTGTGATGATTGTTGTGCCTAGTGCCTGCTTGACAAAAACCTTGACTCAACAATTAGTGGTTTACAGCTTTGCCTTGGACAACAGGATGTGCTCAAGCATTCGACCTCAAATCACTCAGAATGTCAAAATCAGAAGCTCCCTCTCTCTCTCTCCCTCTCTTTCGCTCGCTCTCGCTCGCTCGCTCTCTCTCTCTCTCTCACTCTCTCTCTGTCTCATTGGGAGGTGATGTGTGTGGATCTCTGACAGCTCACTGGGAGGAGGGATGGAGGGGTGAGAGGGACATGAGCTGAGAGAGAGTGAAAGGAGGGGAGGAGACGTAGAAAGGGGAGCTAGATGGAGACAGAGAGACGGTTACAGTCAAATAGATAGTTTGTAGAAAGATTTACTCCTGTTCTCCAAAAGTAAATAAATGGGAAACACGTGTGAACTATTTAAAAGACAAAATGTGATGAGCAGAAGTCAGGCATTTGGCAGTATTGAGTCTGGAATAACCTCTGAAAAACAAACAGAAAACTTGGTTCATCCATGTCATTTGCCCTTTTTTACATTTGGCAATATATAACATGATCTCCTTCAGTTTGCAATAAGATTACAACCAGGCCAAAAAGACAGTGACTACTGAGGAAGGCCTCATTTAGAGTCTCCAACCAGAGGAGGTCACTGTCCTACATCGGCTGACTCAAACCAGTACATAATGCCATATCAATTTAACATTTTAAACACTTTCAATGCTATATTGGTTATTTTTAAATAAACGATATCCTTTAGGTTTAGGATTGAATTACTCTTGAGCTGCATAAGCTGTTACTAGGCTGAAAAAGAGAAAAAAAAAGGGCAAACATTTGACATAATGTCCAGTTTTTATATCTGCACTCAAGTCAAAGTCAACTTTATTGTTGTATTGCAGTCATTTGTTAGGCTGTCATTCCTGATTGCATTTTCTTCTTTTGATTGATGTTGTAACTTGGTCGAATTACTTTCTTAAAAAACCAACGGAAAAGCCAGTCTATAATAACAGAGGTTTTGTTGCATGGATGAACCGTTACACAAGTATTCCTCTTGTCATAATACATTCTTAGTTGACTGACACCCATATGATGTTGTCAAATAATAAGACTACTTGATTTAATAATCAGATCTGTTGTACTGAGTACTTCCACAAAGAATATTGCAAAATCACCACTATACAACTTGTGTTTACCAGAGATGTGCTCATGTGTTTCTTGGAAATTATGAAAAAAGGCATTCAAAAGGTAGTATTCATGTAAATAAATGAAAGTGGACTAAGACAAAAGCAACCAATTAGTGAACTAAGAGAGAGCAGCCCTGAACATGAGATGAAGGATCTATCCTTTGCTTCAGCCGTCCCCACTACACAGCCTTCAGTCAGGAGCAGAGCTCTCTGTGTAGAAATATTTTTCCTCAGTAGCTTCCCTCTGAGTTGCAGTACTTCCTCATGCCCAGCAGAGAGCACTCACATGTTAGAGAGTTCCCCCTCGCACTGCACTCACAGTTTGCGTCTCACTGTTTGCCCACACTGAGCGCTATATCCTGCTACCATTCAGGCCCGTGAGAGTACATCTAAACGGAGCCTAAACAATGTTTCTGTGGGGTCATAGCTGGGATGGGAGTAGGAGTTGATGGGAATGATGAGGTGATGGGTCTCCCTTTACCTTTAGACAAGCACCGTTGCGCAAAAGTGCTATTGTGCTATTAGCATTTGTGTGTGGGTGGCAGGAGCTTTAAAAAAAAAAATCCAGGGTAAATAAAAGCAGTTTTCTCGCTATCTGTGTGCAACACAGTTTTAAATGCTTGGTAAGCATTATTTCCTCTGTCAGTCCTCACATTCCCTAATGCGACTGTTTAGGATTACAAGTCAAATCCTTCACCAGAAACCCTTCCTGGTCCTGCTTTGCAATTACTTTAGACTGCAGTCTGATAGAACATTATGTTCTATATGAAGATGTCTTTGCCCATGTGCTATTTCTTTCCATATTCAACAACAACATGTATGATTGCAGCATTCTATGCCTAAAGTCTCTGGCTAATACAGCATGCTGTTTCTGCTATGGGAAGGCCAATGTTGTGAAACAAATTAAAACCATAATCTAAACTAACCACACTTATACTTGCAGAAGTAAATACTCCAAAATTGTAAGTAGAATCGGCATGCTGCTCTTGATGGCAACAAAGAAAAATGTCAAAAATAACCACATTTTCGTTTTAATCTCCAGGTTTACTGGAAATTGGAAACCAGTCATAGTCATTGTGTTATTCTATAAAGAAAATCACCTTTTCACCATTCCCGAAGAACGATATCAATATATTTGCCAATGCATACATTATGAGATATGCGGTAATATGATTGTTATATTTTGTATTAATGTAATTATCCCTTCACTAGTAGCCTTGCATAACTATCTTTTTACAATCTGTTTTGAATTGATTAACTAAGCTCATGTAGTGTAAATTAGCAAAAACAAGACCAAGGTTCTGATTAAGCTAATGCAGTGACTACATAACGTGTGTTAAACTCATCATACCATTTTAAAGGGTTCATTGTAGACTCAGCAGACAGGCAACTGTTAAAACAGGATATAAACAACAATATGAATCGTAACAGGCCAGAGAAAGAGAATGAGCGAGGCATTGAGAAAAAAAAAAGAGGACATTACAATAGCTGTAATTTGCATCATTTTACACATTACATTCACCTCTATCTACCGGAGCCTGTGAAACACTGGCCAGCCCAGTCTTACATATTCAGATCATTTGCCTCAATTAAGGGAAACTCAGCAGAAGATGAACTGGCATAAATGTTTATGGAAACGGAATATTAGATTGGTGGGGTCAGATCCAGTCTGGGCTCTCTATGGTAATAGCCCTGTCTTGAAATCAGTCCTGTCCCTCACTGAAGTGGAACAGCTGATAGACCATTCCCATCCCCGGGAGGGAGTTCAAGAAAAGAAAAGCCCAATTTACTCTCCGTAACAGCTATTATTGTGGCAAAGGAGAGGAAGTAATCGTATGGATTATTGCTGTATTTTTGCTGCAGCAGGGACTGGTGCAGATATGTTGCCTAACAATTGTAAATGGATGCAGTAGTCCTCTTGCTTTAGATGTGCTTCAGAGGCTCTACTTCATCTCTTATTCAGTTTATAAAGCAGAAAGCTTACAGCAGGTGGATTTCTTTTTTTTAAAATGTAGATACATGTATATTCCTCACATTATATTGCACCCCTAGCTTGTTATAAAATCTCTCAACATATCATCCCTTTTCATCCTAGTTTTTAGAGTATATAGGATCTATATATTTAGTTTTACCGGTACATGATATTATTTGTTTTCATCATCATAATTTGTATATGGCCATCTGTTAGTCTTGTATAGTCAGTACAAAATTAGTCTATCAAAAAAAAAACCTCTTAACATTTCAAAAACCTTCATTTTGTTCTCAAAATAGACGACACAAAAAAAGGTTACCGTCTGCAACATTTCCCAAGATTTGATTATTCATTTACAAAAATACACATATTTTGGCCAACAAAATCCTGCCTTCCAATGAAACACAACACCCTGCACCTTTAGTTTTCTGATTATCCATCATTGTGTCTTTCTTTTCTTTTTTTTGTCGCAGCTTTTCTTACACAGCCTCTGCTTTTGATTTGCTAGCATTTTAAATGCCTGAGGTTCAACATGCTGTCTGAACAGATGCAAGAATCCTCCAAATGTCCTGTAGGAAGCCCTATCAGCATATGAATATAAAGGTTATTTTCTAATGGTTGTACGGGCTGTATGGTATATTGCTTTTAGCACCGAGCAATCTGTTCACAGTTAAGAATGGGAGTTGCTTCGCGTTCTACCTTGAGTGGTGCAAAGCAGCAATATATAGTTTAGAAGATTGCAATTGGAACGCAGCCAGAGTAATTTGGTCCTCACACTCAATGTACAGTCACATGTGCCAAGACTTAGAGGAGGGAGAGATGAGGAGATGAGGGTGATTTAGAGGATGACAATCAAAGGGGTCATGGGTTTGAATTGATGCAGATGGAGGAACACGCCACACAACAGTTTTGTTTTTTTGCCAGAGCTCATCTGCTTAAAACTCTGAATCGTTTTTTTTTCACAAGAAAAGTGTCATCACAGCGCTGTATATGAGGGTCCAAACAAATAAGCCATATGGATTTGTATGCTAACCTGAGAGATGATGAGGATACATTGTGGGGTTTTGAATAGCCTCTGTGATGATGTAAATTAAAGAGGAGGCCTTTAAAAGTGGAAGGGGGGGGGGGCCTTATTGCATATGCATTGAAGTAGATCAAAGCCTTTTCGGAGGTCACACATTTACATAGCGATATCACCAGAGCTATGGGAACCTGGTAACCCTGTCTCTGGACTATTTTTGAATAAAGAGGGCCTTGTGGAAGTCCTTTAACACAATTATAGGAGTCAAGGAAGTTCCCTCCTGTGCCTGCTTTTTCCCTTTTTTTTAACAGTTTCTGGTGTAAAATAGCAGCGGCTCATTTCCAAAGAAAGCGCAAGATAATAACTCTAGAAGGCTAATAACTGTCTTTGTGTTTCCAGGAAAGAGAAGACTAACTCAAAAATTCTTTCTACTCTGAAGACCAAAGGTGAGTATCGACAAAGTAATTTCAATTGCATGTGTCAGAAAAAGGTTAATAGGATATTTGAGCGTTCACAGGCATGACATTCCCAAATATTTTAAGCCTCAGACGAAGGGCAACTGTTTGATAACATTTCATTTTGATTTATTCCAGGTTACTGAAAGCCTAGATTCTTAGATTGCAGAAACACTCTAAATTGTATTATAAATTGCAAAAACATTCAAATTGTACTAATACTACTGATATTACTGATCAAACCTTAAACACTGCTCTATATAAAACCGTTAACACAAGTGGTGAATCTAATTTCTTTGCAATGACATCTTTGCTTTATTTTCATTTCATTTCATTTCAAACCTTTATTTATCCAGGTGTATCCCATTGAGATCATTGATCTCTTTTTCAAGGGAGACCTTGAAAACAAAACAATATATATTATATATAAAAGTGCTTTGCTTCAACAGGGGCAGGTTGCAATTGGCCACATGTTTCTAATTTTACTTTGAGTCTAGTTAAAAGGAAAAAAAAATATATATATTTCTTCCAATATTTGTATTCAAAATCCAATCATCTTTACTTCATGTAAACCATAAAGAAAATGTGTGCTTATTTAAGCTGAAACTAATTTCAAACAATAATATTGGCATCAATCAATCTGCAACTTTATCAAAAAGGAAGCTGTGTGAAGCCAACAGTCCTCTGAAGCCCGCCCACTTTTTAGCAGTCCAATCATTCGCGTAGGCTTTTAAGGGATTGTAATCCTTGTTTTGTCTCTACAGTGCTTCTGTTAAACTCTGGAATACTTTTCAATAAAAGTAAGCTTGAGACACTTTGAATTCTGTCTTACTGGGACTTTCCGTATCAACTTTTACTTTACTGATAAAGACTGAACAGACACAAACATCAATTCCTTATCAGGTAAACAATACAAACATCTGATTAGGCCTCAAGTTGCTGGATCCTATATATTTTGGGTTCTACCCTCACATTTGTGTTTAGATTTTTGCGGCAATTATCAGATCACCCGGGTGCATTTTATTGACATGAGTGCACAATAGATTATCTTCTTTCTAATTTAGTATAATGCCCTGTTCAATTAAACTCAAGGTAAGCTTTAGCTGCAGTGTATTCAAATCCTGGAATGCTTATAGCGAGAGTGTACAGAGGACTGGATAAAGAAATGATGTAGACAACGTTAAAGGTTACTCCTCATGTGAAGCATGGATGGTGAAACATTCTGCTATAATAAGCTTGTTTTCTTTCCCTTTCCCTTTTTATGAAGATTTCTGGGGGGATTCGGATGACAGCAACTCGGAGATTGAAGCAGCCTTACGTCCTCAACCTTTCAACAAAAACATCGGTGACACCGACAGCTTCAGTGACTGATAATTCCCTGTAGATATTTTTTAAATGCACTACATTACATCGCTCCAAAATTCCAGGCAGTTTGGCTCACAGTAAATCAACCCCTGACCGTTCTTTTATTGGTCTGCATTGTAAATCATATGTGCACTGTATCGTAAAAACAAATAATAAAGTTGACAGCTCTCACGCCGGGTAAAGTATGTGAAGAGTTGTCCAACACTCTGATGTTAACCCTGCTTCAGTCTCTTTATCTGAACAACTCTCCCGGCTCATAATAACAGCTCGAAATAGATTAAACTGATCTTTTAAAGCGATTTGTTTGCACTAGGCTGAAAATCATGCATTTTGAATGCCGCGAGCATCTCCGAGTGCTCTACCTCCAGCATGCTCGAGTGTAGTGATGTGAGTCACCTGTGAAATGACAAAGCACAATGGCCACTCTGCACGCTGCTGCGCGACCTGTGAACCTGCTGAAGAGGCCCATCTCCCAGGGCACAAAGTGTTGCTAACAAACTCCGAATATTTAGAACCTCCGACAAGCGCTCTGTTCAAATCTACACAGCTGCTTCTTTGATAATAATGCCACAGAAACACATATGTCTAAATGCCTCTCAGTTGTTGTGCCCATGAGTCTCGAGTAGCAGGATCGTTGCTGAAACCACACATTAGTCTTTTCCCTTTTAGCATTTTGCAGCACATTCAACGCTCTGTATCTATTAATAACTCCGAGCTGCTGTGTGGGAGGCTACATTCCCAAGTTTACATTTATAGTTCATTATGTCTGTAGTGTACATTTCCAAATCTGCCATTCTGGGATGTGGTAAAAGCCCCCTGGCATTCAGTGTCAGCAGGATTCCATTATTCAGCTCCAGGTGACTTTACATGCCTGAACCTTTTTAAAGTAGGACTCCACATTCATTACCAATAATGGCTTCAGACGGCCCTGACCCACCACAGAAAAGGGACCATGGCAGAATAATTTGGAGTTTGCTAAAAGGCTCCCTAACATAATATCCATGTTAAGGAGCATGTCAACAGATACTTGTGTGCGACAGATAGCTCACAGTGGAAGCGGAGTTATATTGTACTAATGTGTACTAACACTAATATTAAAAAAAGAACTTTTCAGATGAGGGACACAATGAGGATGACATTCGGCTAATTCTTTGATGTCATTCTGCGTGTAGAGGGAGGTCAGGAAGGTGTTTATCTTGCAGTTAAGGGGCGTTATCCGTACAGCGTTATCAATATCAACTCTAACAGCATTGGTGTTGTGAAGGGGATCAATGTTTAGATCAAATCAAGTTTTATTTATATAGCACATTTTTAAACGATTTTTGGTCCAGCCAAAGTGCTGTACATATAATAAAAATACCATACAGTAAAGACACAGTTTGTACAGAATATTAGTATGAGAAAACAACACCCTCTGTCCTTAGACCCTCACATCGTACAAGGAAAAACTTCCAGAGAAAACCCACAGTTTAAAGGGAAAAATGGGCGAAACCTCAGGGAGAGCAACAGAGGAGGGATCCCTCTCCCAGGACGGACAGACGTGCAATAGATGCCGTGTGTAAATCGAAGAGATAATACATTTTACAGCATAGGTAGACCGAATGTTTGGAAATGCATGTGTCTGCAATAAGAAATGACTTGACACATGGTGAGCCCAGATCACCACAAGAGTAAGGGAGATGGGTGATATTGGTATTTTTTACGACAGTGCTACGACAACATCTGTAATTTAAGTGCAGGAAAATATGTTCTCTTTCATTTTTTAACACTACTTATCCTACCTCACAATAACTAATAGGAGATTATTTATAATAGAACACTTTTTTTGTTGTTGCTTAAAACAGCTCAAATATCTGAGAAAAGGCATTGAAACTTATTATTCCAATTATTTTCTAGATTAATCAATTGTTTGTTTATAAAGTCAGTTTAAATATGATGTTTTGTCAGTCCAAAGCCCTAAAATATGCACTTGAATCTGATAAATAGTTGAGAAAAACAGGATAACGCCATATGTAAAAGTTTGAAATCAGCCTTTTCTCAAAAATGTTCATACAAATGACTTATTCGGTCACCCAAAAACTTTCTTTTTGTGTAAAAATTGATGTATCGAAGAATAGTCTACAAGGTGCCACTCTATTTGGATTCAGTCACTTGACAGAATCAATCGAAGTTTTCATAACCGTGACAATGGTGACACTTATAAGTTAATGGATTTCAGTCTCCTGTATTATTCAGCTTAAAACATTTCTTTTCAGGACACCCAAATAATAAAGCCCTTCAAATCTTGAACTGACATCCCGTTCTTAATGTGATCAAAACCGCTCATCTCTTTGTGGCTCATCATATTTTATATTGACTTTGACAATGCTGCTTTAAATATAACAAATGGCATAGATGGAAATACAGTCGACAAACTCAACAACTCATTCATTGTATATAATGCCTTCAACACGCTCATTATAAATGCTTTCAAAGTATGAATGAAGCAATAATTGACAGTTAAAAGTTGAAGTAAATGTCAACATTTATGACATTGAGATAGAATAAAATATACTTGTTGTATAGAATCTTAAGACTCACCAGTGTGTTTCTATACAACTATTCTCAAAGTTGTGTCTCTTTATAAGTTGCCTAAAATGAAGGCCAGAGAGACTGCTAAACTGCCATCATTGTTCAGAACATGACAACCATAATGAGTAACAAGCACAACAACCACGTCTACTAGCAGAGTATGAATACATCTCATGTTTCCACTAAATGCTATGACCCATTCTTTATGCGCCCATTTCCTACCGTATGTAACAAAGGTCAAGGTCTGACACTGCAGCTTTTTTAAAATGTACATGCAATTTCAATAACCCGTGGGCTGCTTGACAACACAGCAGGCAGCGCTCAGTAGTGATACAACAAGTGGACACCGCATCACAAACCTGCAACAGAGAATATTATAACTAATATCGTTTAGTTATCATCAAATATATCAGATCAACTAGTGAACCGCACAAAGAGAAAAGCAGTAAACAGTTTCCAGCTTCTTAAATGAGTCCTTTCTCAGTTGTTTCAAATCTTTAATAACATATATTTGATGCTTTTGGGCTGCCGTTGTGACAAAACATGACATTTTTAGATACCACTATTCGCTCTATGAAACTGTTAAGGGCTCTTTTTAATATTTGCTGATATTTTATTGATCAAAACAATAAATCAGTGTATCAGTCATTAATGTTTTAAGCAACTAAAACTGATGTCATAGTCATATCTAAGATCACTAACATTTATTTGTAATCAAATCTCATAGAAGCAGTGCGGCTCCTAGAGTACGGCGTATTGAAGAGATGGTGTGACATTCAAGTTCTTCAAAATATAGCTATGAATGTCATTTCTGTATTGTACATAAAAAGTGCATTTACCCAACAGATGCTGGAACAAAGATTTAAGACCAGACAAGGTTACACGGATCACATAATAACATTAATATGCTTTTGAATGTGCGCTTGCAACAACCACTGTGTTGTGAGTATGGAAGCCTGTTCCTTTCAGTCTGGCACGCTATCAAGTACTGAGCTTAAAGCCATTCATGTTCGGCCCACATCAATTCAGCCTTTTTTTCCTCACCAATTGCTGCCATGAGTGTCTGGCAAGTTGAGAGGAGGGTCTTGCTCCCTCACAAGCCAGATTGACCTACTTTTTGTCGAGACAACTTCCAATAAGACAGGGTCAGTGTTCTTTCATTGGTGTCTTGCATTGGAGTCTCCCACATGTGTCTAATTTGTTCAAAAGACACTTGTGTTACTTACTAGTAACAGGAAAAGTGGATTCATCCCTCTACGATAGTCCATGCATATAAATAATCATAAAAAAGCTTTAAAAATGGCTATTATGCATTTTGGATTTATGTTCGAATAAGAATGTTATCTGTAAGTGGGGGACAAATAGATGAAAGCAAGAGGCAAAGTTAAACACATTCATCCACAATGCTGTGGTTTCGCTCTCATATGTTTGTGTAATGTATTCCTGCCTGCTGGACAAACCGAGGCTCTTGAGTGTGCGCCTTCTATTCTCCCCTACCCTACTTTTATTTGTATCACTGAATAATCATTAAGAGCAAGATCATTTTGATCTTCTGCCTCAATAGGCCTCAATTAAATATTCATTCATTCTGATGTGGCCTCCTCGGCAGCTTCTTTGGTATGTGTGTTAAAGAGACAAAAGGCTGTGCTTTTGATTACACAAGCTCGAGCATTTCAAAGAGATCCGGCACCATTATATAGAGTTAAACAATCTTTTCCACTGATCAACAGAGTTGTTGGTAAAATGTTTACTTTGTCGAGGATCCGTGATTTCGTCCTTGACTGTTAAATCAAAAATAATTCAGTTTGCTAAGCTTAATGGAGCCGTGTCTTCTTTTGTTTTATGTGTTGTGCTGTACTGCTACATCATGACATTTAGCAATCAGCCACGCCATATCTGGTAGTTAATTCATAGCTGCATGAAATTATTTGTATCAGGTAAACATCTAAATAACAGTATCAGGGACGTGGGAAAGGGATCACAATCCTAGTAATGTGTTCTGCTATTGCAACACTTGAGTAAATAACTATATGATGGATAGACATGGTACACATTCCTTGTCCACAGAGGATGAATTGTAAAGATTTTGATGATCCCTTAATGATGGCTTTGTTTTACTCAATTAGAGTGCTGTGTCCAAAATGTGTTGCACCATATACTTTCTCTTCGCTTTGCCATATTATTTGTAAGTGTGGAACGTACGCAGAATATATTGCCCCTCGAAATTCATGTACTAAACACTTCTTTGTGATGATGATCCCAAAATGCAATGTGACACATTTGAAAGATTTAAATGAACGGTCACTCCACACTATCTGTGTCAAAATAACTATGATTCATAAGTCTCTGGAAACACACAGATTTACAAGTGTCAAAATGGAATTCAGCCAACTTTTATCCCATGTTTTTACCGACTGTTATTTCTTTTTATTACATGAAAAAGGCCTATGGAACTTTTTTACAACAAAAATGCAAAAGGACTTTGCTGATACAAACAATCCACTTTAATACAGTATATAAATATATATTTGGATTAGATTGTTCTTGTATTCATTATTTAATATTAGATAAGGTTATATTTCCTGTCTGTTCTATGGCAGTTAGCATTGCATCATCATTATGTGTTTAAAAGCTACCAACATTAA